ACATCGATGCTTTACTCTCAAAGAAACCTTAAATCATTTTTATCACTTTCATAAAGAACATGCATATCTTCATAAATTCATCTTACATGATTCAAAAGCTTCATCATATGATCAATTCTATAAATCATGGATCATGCATGGGTTCAAGTGAATTCAACTTAAAAAGATGTAATTATCTCAATTCATGCATAAAAACACATAAAACAATCAATTAGATCATAATTGAAATGAACCCATGAGATTGAATAAAATTGTAATTTCAATTGGAGATTCTAACTTGTAAAATTGGAGAATTTAGAAACCCTATGGAGGAAAGGACTCAATAGGTGAATACTATCATACCTTGATGCCAAAAGCTCACAATTAATGGTGAATTCGGAGACTTGACCTTGAAAACCTAGCCTTCTTATGCAAGCTTTAAAGAGAGAAATATTGGGAAAGAACTTGGAGGGATTTGGGGAAATTTGAAGAATGATCTAGAGTAGGTAGATATTTGGCCTAAAAAGGCTTAAATAAGGTCTAGGATGATCTATAGGTCAAGTACTGGGACCTAAAATTTTATCCTCTTTCGAGGGATCCCGTGTACGGTCCGTTAGTCTTCCTACAACCCGTACATGTCATCATTCGTTCCCAGCTTAGACCTTCAAAATTTTACTAAGTCTGAGATTGACTAACGAACTATTTTGGTAAACCGTAAAAAGGTTACTGGAACTTGAATTTTGAAAAACATTTACCTCTCCACATACAGTTCCCACCTACGGCTCGTAAGAGCACCTACGACATATGATATTGAATTCATGGAGAATCAAACCATTGAAGATATTGACAAAGCGAAGAAGCTAGAATTTTCAAGTTTTGATAACATAGTTCATTTTGATGAAGTTCCTCACACAAGTGTGCATGATGTTGTTGGACTTGATTATTATGGTGATGCCCATAATCATGTATCGAATCAACACATTGATGTTGATAGTAAAAAAGATGTTGTTATTGATGATCCTCCTGCTCATGAACTTGTGGACGAATCAAATATTCCGCGTAGGAGGCCCACAAGACAGCGGGTTCCTTTATCTCGTTATTTACCTAATGAGTATGTGTTACTCATTGACGGGGGAGAATCTGAATGTTATGAAGAGGCCATGGAAGATGACCATAAGGATCAATAGATTGAAGCCATGCAAGATGAGAAGAAGTTTTTGCATGACAACCACACGTTGGTAAAATTGCCCAAAGGCATGAGAGCTTTGAAGAATAAGTGGGTGTTCAAAGTTAAAGCTGAAGAACACAACTTGAAGGCCAGGTACAAAGCTAGATTGGTTGTTAAGGAATTTGGTCAAAGGTAAGGCATTGACTTTGACGAAATATTTTCTCTTGTCGTGAAAATGTCCTCCATTCGTACAGTTATAGGTTTGGCTTCTAGTCTTAATTTAGAGATTGAACAGATGGATGTGAAGACGACTTTCCTTTATGATGACCTAGAAGAAGAGATTTATATGGAACAACCTGAGGGCTTCAAAGTAAACGGTAAAGAAAATTTTGTGTGCAAACTTAGAAAGAGTCTCTATGGCCTAAAACAAGCTCCTAGACAGTGGTACAAGAAGTTTCAATCTGTTATGGGGGAGCAAGGCTATAAGAAGATTTCTTCAGATCACTGTGTATTTGTACAAAAAAATTATGATGATGATTTATCATCCTTTTGGTGTATGTGAATGATATGTTGATTGTGGGCAGAAATACTTCCAAGATTGACGAGTTGAAGAAAGAGTTGTGTAAGTTTTTGCTATGAAAGACTTGGGCCATGCCAAGATAATTTTGGACATGAGAATTACTCGTCTCAAAGATGAAATGAAGATTCATTTGTCACATAAGAAGTATATTGAACGTATATTGGAGCGCTTCAATATGAAGAATGTTAAGCCTGTTAGCACACCTTTTGCTGGTCATATGAAGTTGAACAAGAAGATGTGTCCTACAACTAGGGAGGAAAGAGAGAATATGACCAAAGTTTCCTATTCCTCCGTCGTTGGAAGTCTAATGTATGCAATGGTATGTACTAGACCTAATATTGCTCATGCAGTTGGTATTGTCAGCATATTTCTTGACAATCTCGAAAAAAAACATTGGAAAGATGTGAAGTGGATACTCAGGTATCTTAGAGGAAGCTCGGATGAATGCTTATGTTTTGGAGCATTAGATCCAATCTTGAATTGGAGCATCAGATCCAATCTACAAATGTTGATATGGCAAGTGACCTTGATAATAGAAAATCTACTACTGGATATTTGTTTACTTTTTTAGTGGGAGCTATATCATGGCCGAAGTTGCAGAAGTGTGTTGAACTATCTACAACTGAAGATGAGTATATGGCGGCTACTGAAACCAACAAAGAGATGATATGGCTCTAGTGATTTCTTCAAGAACTTGGGTTGCAACAAATGAAGTATGTTGTCTATTGTGACAGTCATAGTGCAATAGACTTGAGCATGAACTCTATGTACCATGTAAGGATAAAACACATCGATGTCAAATATCATTGGATTCGCAAGCAAATGGAGAATGAATCACTTGACCTTATAACGATTCACACAAGTGAAAATCCTACAAATATGTTGACCAAGGTGATACCGAAAGACAAGTTCGAGTTATGCAAATAACTTGTGGGTATGAGCTTTCTCTAAAGAAGATGAAGACATCTCCTTCTGGTGCATGATACTGGATGAGGAGATTTGTGGGGTCCATCCCATATTTCTTATTGGTCAAATTTTGATAAAAAAGTAACAGTAGCTGCAAATGTTAACAAATGTCATTTTGAATTATTACTCCTTATTGATGTCATTGATGACATTAATAAGCAGATTTTTTTTCTATAAATAGAGCACTCTTGCTCATTGTAGAACCATCAAGATAAAGAGAAAAAAATCATTTTGAGAGCAAAGTGAGGTGTACCGTAGACTATACAAGAAATTAGTCTTTGAAGAAAAATAGAGTGTGAACGATATTTTAGTAAGGTGGTAAATTAAAAGAGTGTTATTCTCTTTGAGCATGTAGTAGTCACTTTGAGTATTATACTCGTGACTATACAGTGTAAAATTCCTTATAGTGATACCAGTTGCTTCTCTTGATTTGTGGTTTTCTCCTTATTTAAAAGAGTTTCAACATAAAATTTTTGGTATCATTATTTTTCCATTTTATTTCTATTATTTTGACCATATAAATTTTTGTTAGTCCGCGTTTTCTCAACAGAAATATGGTGTTTCTCCCATAGTGTATAAAATAACAACATTTGTTCACTCCTTTGTCGGATCCATTGTCTCGCTACTCTCCACCACCACAATTGGTTTACCATTAATAATAGCCAGATGGATAAAATGGAGGGCTATACCCGCCGTTCGTTATTTGCTAATAAACCAGTTTATTCCCCAGTTCGCTTTACTGATCTTTTCCATCTATTGTCTTGTCATACCTTGTTCCGGTATCTCTTTAGTCATTGTTTTAGTTGGTAGCTTGTCTTCTTCCCCTTCTAGCTCCTTTTATTTAGATTTAGAGTTCAACTCTGCCTTTTGATCTATGATTGAGTCCACAATCCCACATAGGTGCCTCAACTCTGAGCTCGATGTTGTTGAGAAAACACTTATTTCGTTTGCTTCCATGAAAATGCCCCTTTCCGTCTCCGCCCTATATCAGGTGCAGTTGTTTGGTGGGTAGATGTTGTTGAGGTAGTATCAGTTTTTGTGTCCTTTGTAAACTCAAATTCATGATCAACGTCCTCCTACCTCGGCCGCACTTTGTCATCGCGAAGGTTGGTCGTTTGATTTTTAAAGCAAAGTTGGGGTGAAAATGATTTTGCACTTAATAAATCAAATATTTTATTAATAATGTAAAGGAAAATGAAAATTATTATAAAATAATACTTAAAACCTATCAGACATTAAAACTAAAACATTATATTATCTTACATACAATAATACGTAGTAACAAACATTAATAATGTAAATGAAATGAAAATTATTATATCTTATCATTTATCCTTAATAACATAAGCATAAATTAATGATTGTAAAAATACATACCAGGATCTGTAACATAAGCAATGGTGTCAGTGAGCCACTCAACATGAGCAAAGTACACAAATATTTAATTGTGAAGAAGAAGAAGAAGAGGTTCGGAGTTTTTGTTATTTTAAAATGACAGAAAATTCCTCTATTTATAGACAACAAAGGGTAGTGTGAACAAAAGTTTATTATGCCTTATCAGAAATATTATAACTATTTGGAAAAGTTGCAACCCTTCAGAAAGGGCACAACATTTCATAAAAGTCATAACTTTTCATAAAAATCACATTTTTGCATTAAAGTCGTAACTTTTCATAAAAGTCTGAATTTCTCATAAAAGTTACAACTTTTCATAAAAGTCGCAACTCTTCATAAAAGTCGCAATTTTTCATTAAAGTCACAACTTTTCATAAAAGCCACAACTTTTCATGAAAGGGGAAGGCCAGTTTTGGAAATAAATAATTTAACAGGGAATTTTGGTTTGTGATGGCGCTACGTAGGCGGCCCTAAGGTTTTCTTTTATATATATATATATATATATGATATGAATATATATATGATTACTAACTTTCAAGTACACATAATGCTACAAAATTCACCGTCAAATAAATCAATAATAGTAATACCTAGTTATTTTTAATTTACAATTTTTTTACATTGAATATGATTATTAATATTTTTTTGTAAAAATTTAAATTTACTGATCAAGCTTTATAGTTCACTTTTTGGATTGGAGAATTTGAAATTGTAAATCATGATTTGAAATTAAAATTAAAATTTTATTCAAATTTGAGCCCCAAATTTTTGTGAGAAGTATTTTGCTTTCAAGCCAAACACACCCCACATATGGAGCATGTTAAGTTCGAAAACATCCCCACAAGACCCAACTACTATCTGCAGAACTTTCCCGCGCTAAAGTCATCCCCTTATAAGGAGAACCCGCCATTTCCACATCAAAACTTAGGGTTTCGAGTTCAAAAACTTACCGGAGAAGCTCTATTTCAAATCAGGCATGACCGACCATGAGGCGTCAGCCATGGAAGTGGAGCGCCGCCATTGGAAACCTCAAGAATGCAGCGGAGGAGAAAGAGAAGTAGCAGTAGAAGAGGAAGAAGATCCATTCCTTCAATTCATTGAATACGCTAAGTCTGTTCTATCTCCCGATGGTAACGGTAGTGGAGATGATCCAAAGGGACCTAGTTGGAGATGGATTGCTTCAAGGATTCTCAAGACTTGCATTGCTTATTCCTCTGGAGTTACCTCCGCCATTCTCCTCTCTGATCTCTTTCAGGCACAATTTCTTTCCTACCTTCTCCCTCTTATTACAATTTCTCAATTATTTGGTGAATTTTGTTAACTGAATAAGTTTAAAGCTATAGTATTATGTCAGTGTTTTTTGATATTTTCCTTTATTAACTTTGTGATCCAGTAATTTGCTCGCTCTCTGTCACTATTGCTTGTAAATATGTAAAATTTGTTGGAAATATCAGTCTCTCCATTTGATTAATTAAACATTTCTTTTGAATTGACCTCCTCTTTTCTTTGATTCATAAGTACAGGAGGTCAATTTCCCATTGTTGTGCAGGTTACTTAATGAATCTATTTTATCCTAATTCACTTAAGAAGAAAAAATTCATGCTCGGTAGGTAAGTTTAAGAGGGATTAACTCCACTATATTTTGTATGCATATACTAGAATAAAATGATAAAAATAAAAAGTTAAGTCCAATTTGAAGTGATCTCAAGTGATCCCTTCTTAGTGTCCAAAGGAGCTATAACAGGTAGGGCTGACATGATTTGGACTTGTGACATTTTGTACCCAAAACAAACAAATGATTATAAATACCTCATCAAGGGTAAAGTGAAAAGTTTGAATTCAAATCCTTTCTAAATATAGAAAGCTGTACTTTTTTTGGGACACACTAATAAGGAAAGTGTATTACATAACTTAGACAGGGGAGTAAGAAAATGATCTCTGAATTCAGACCGGAAACTAAATGTGGTTGTGCTCGTACCCTGGACGTTGTCACTTTTTTTTGGGAATACTTTTTTCTTTTTTTTCGTTCTATAAGTAATATGCTAGGTTGAAGTTGTATTTTGAAGTTTAAATGTTTTAGGGATTTAATAATAATGATATGCAGGCTTGGAATGAATTGAATAAGAGTGGAGCTCCAAAGAAACAGTCAGAATGTATTTTTCAGTTGAAGAAGAAACACAAGAGGGCAAAGCTTCCTAGTACTGTCACCATTGACTCCATATATGAGAAAAAGTTTTTATCTTTGAACAGTGTAATTGAAGCTGTTATTATAGACACTTACATCCTTCCAGGTACATTTGAGCTTTTAGGTTTGGTTCCACCAATGTACATTTTATTTCATGAGGTGATAATGCATGGATATTGTGTTTGTGCTATTTTGAATAAACTGTCTTAATCTGTTGTACCTTGATTGATAAATTATTACATCTTCAGATGTCTTTCACTTGTCTATGCTTTGATTTTATTTCACTATTATGAAACTTGTATTATGCAAATGATGCTTAAAGTCTTTGCACTTGAAAAGTGTTTATTTCTTGGAGAACCCTTTTTGCATCACTTGCATTGTGCTCAAATTTTAATAGCAGTTCTTCTATTAATTAAATAATGATAAGAAATACACATGCCAAGTTTAATCCGTGTATTGTTTTGGAAATATTGTATTAAAGAAAGTCACTTTTTCTGCGTGGAGTTTCTGATCCAGTTCATTTTCCATACACTGGCTTTCTTGTAATTGGCCCACTCTTAAGATTGTATTTAACAAATATTATATGCTGGTTTTCTTCCAGGAACAAACATTTATATGCTTCATCTGGGTGATTTTTGGAGTTCTAATACAATAGATCTGTATCTTCACCGCAGGTATTGAGCTTTTGTGTCTGATAGAGTTGAATTATGATGACCCTTCATTAAATTTTTTTTTGCTAACTTACGGAAATAGTCTCTTTACCTCTCACAAGATAGGGATAAGGTATGCGTGCACCCCACCCCACCCTACCCAAACCCCCACTTGTGGGATCACACTAGGTATGATGTTGTTGTTGTAAAGTCATTACTTGATCTGTAGCCTGTTCTTTAAAATTTCATTATGTTTCCACCCTGACCCTCATAACCAAATTTAATGTTTCCTTGTCCAGTATATATCATTTTCTAGCTCAAATTACTTACTTAGACCCTCTTCTCTCTCTCTCTCTCTCTATATATATATATATATATATATCTATGTATCTATCTATCTATCTATACTGTAGATGTGTAACATGTTGTGTAAGATTCCATAAAGTAATGCTGTCGTGTAACTCAAGCTTCATTAATGTAGTTAACCTACAATGGTTTGTGAATGTTGTATGTATAAAATATTTTATCTGTTTTCAATAAAAGATTGTTAGTCTTCATGTGGTAACGATGATTTGACATAATACCAATGTAGTGTTTGGCCTTACTTTGCTCGATATTGATATATTATAAGGACTTAAGCACAAACATTAACGGCGATGCTACATAACTTACGTGATCTGATATCCACATAATAAGAGTTTAAGCTGTATGTAAAGGAACCAAGATGTTTTAAATTCCAGGGCGTAGCTAACATTTTTTGCCTCTGAAAATTGTCCTTTGGGTTCTACTTAACAGCCGCTGCATGATTTATTTCTAGCTATTGTACTTCTCAGACTTCTTCATAGATCTTATTGTGATAGAATAGATTCTACAGCTTAGCGGATCAAAAGAATGGTATTTTGAAGAAAGGTCGTGAAGTTTTCCTCACAGGATGCCGCCTCCGAACTGCCACTGGAGGTTCCGGTCATGCACGTCTTTTGCCAACTGAATATCTTGTGATACTGTTAGACGAGGTAGTGTCAAAATCTGTGTGTTTCAGTGCTTCAGCATTTAATGGTAGTTGGTTTCATGTTCCAGTGTTATCAAAGTTTTACTAATATTCTTGACATTGTAGGCATAGTATGTCTTTTATTGTCTTTCACAACAAACTGTTGTGAAAGAGCAGCACCTCAGTAACCATCCTTCTCCTTCTATCTGATAACTTAGCAGATATTTTACTGGATTACTGCTAGGGCTAGTATAACAGCTTGAAGGGAGGTAAAAGATGAGATCAGTAGGTTCTGTGCATTGCTGGCTCAAGGGCCAATCGAATGAAGCGGCCTCTTTAGGCCCCTTTAATCATAAAAAGTATGCCTTTTTGCAAAAAAGTATTGAATACTTCAATGAAAAAAAAAGACAAGATCTATAGGACTATTTCTTATGTAATTGAAAGTGAATGTATATACATCTTGGGTAATTTACATATATAATCCAAATTTTTCTTGTTAATTTCTTTTTTTCGTTTCTCAGAAGAAAGCTTGTACTTTATATAATATAACAAGAAAAGAAAACTTGTACTATATACTCTCTTTTCTTCCTCCTGCTAAGTTCTCTATTCTCACGAAAACAAGGGTTGAAGGGCTATGGATAAATCAAATTTCACATTCTTCTTCATTCTTTCTCGAGTTTTCAGGCATTGCATCAAGCAAACAAAAGCAAGGACATTTTTTTTAAACATCAAGTTACAACTTCTAGAATCATGTTTTGTTGATCTGACAGTCTAACTTTGAAATTTGTTATTTATTTTTATATTCTTACTTCATAGGTGTATGTATTTTTTTATTTTTTTTTGATAAAGAACTTCATAGGTCTATATTTCTTTTTATATAACTCATTAGAATTAAAATATGTCAACTAGAAAATATGAATCAGATTAATTACTCAAACTAAAAAAAAATCGAGTTGGAACTTTAATACTGTAATTGTATGGAAGAACTTGTTTCTCTATTCATGAATATACAAGGTATTTATACAATTACAAGGATTCCATAAAAGGGAATAAATTAAAATAAATAAAAGGAAATATTCTTGAATTACTCCTATGATTTGGTTGCCATATTCCAATGTCCTAATTTACAGGCAAAAACGTGATTCTTATTTGAAATGTAGGACCAAAATGATGATGCGATGTTGCTTTTAGCACAATTTTGTGAAGATAACTTCTCTGCCATTTCTCTCAGTGATGTCAATCGGGGGGTCTCCTATTCATTACGTGGAGGGTGCGTCCTCCTGCCATATGACTATTAACAATTCAACTATAGGTCTAGTATTCCACATCTGGTATTGTTGTTGTGCATTTTGCTACATTATTGATGTACCTTAGTCTCAAATGACTATAGGATTAAATCTATTACTTCTCTGGAGGTTCAAGGGAAGTATGGTAGTTTGCAGAGGAAGCAAATTGATCTTGTCGACCACGAAGGTGTCAGTTCAAAATTTCTTTTGTGGGGTGAGCAGGTTCTGCTTGCAAACCTATTCAGGTAGATTACCATATGTCTCTTTAATTATATTTTTTTTGCTTTGTTTGCTTTTTTCTTTTCCTGTTTTTGTACCTGGCTGTAACTTCGTTCTATTCAGTGTGGGAAGTACGCTTGCCCTGGATAGACCATTCATCTCGAGTTCAACGGATTGTGCTGTTGAAACATCTCAAGAATGTTGCCTTGAATATGGTACTGCAACACAGCTATATCTGGTGCCCTTTGTTCAGAATGAGGAGCAAGTAAGTCCTGAATAATTAATGTAAGAGATGTTAATTTTCGTAACTGCATGAAAACTTAGATCAGGGTCTTCTCAGGTATCCCTAGCACTGACACAGAACCATAACAAAGGACCAAAACTATCAAGAGCTTTGGATCCAAGTCAGGGACTTGTAGTCTCCCAGGTTTTCTTGCCTTGTGATTCTCAAGGTTCTATTGACTTCAGCGATTATCCTTTCCGAGTAAGCCTGTGCTCCTTAACTTTCTGTTATCAGATGCTATAGATATATAGATTTTTGGAATTTATATCTTCCTTGCATTTAGCTCTGAATTTCAGAATTAAAAAAAGAAGAAAGGCTCTTTTTAAGATGTTTCTGACTTTTAATCACATATTGATTGACATGCTAGTTCATTCACCTCCACCATAAGATGTTTCGTTGCATGCCTTTTTATCTTCAATATAGGGTTCTTACATCCTTTGAGGGTGATGCCACTGCTTCTGACTTGACTGTATTTGTTATCTATGGCAAGCTATTTTTCTGTTCGTATTTGGATTTCACAAAAAAATCAATTGATGTCTGTTTCTTATACATAGAGCTTTGTATGCTTTTTGATGCACTGCATAGAAGTGTAAATGAAGTTTTAGAACCTTTTATGTTTACCTTGGTTCTTACAAAGCATTCTCTAAAGTGAACAGTTTGAATAGTCTGTAATCATGTATGTTGGTGATAAAATAATCTGGATGGTCTTTTTGTTGTACACCATTGCTCACTATTATGCAGTTGCATTTGTTATTGACATCTTACATCTTTAAAGTCTGCAGTCATTTGTTGTTGATCTTCGGGAGAAGATGACTGGAATAAGCCTCTACGGTATTGTTTCTGACATCACAAGTACTCAAGAGCCAGTACTTTCTGTTAAGATTCAAGATGTAACTGGTGCAGTTTGGGCAAGACTACATTTTGCTCGATCCTGGTAGGAATATTTTTCTCAAACCTTAAAGTCACATGCTATTCTCTTTGATCAATCAATTTGAAAAAAGATATCTCTCAAACCAACAAGTTACAGGCATTTTCTTTGATCAATCACTGAAAAAAAAATTCACAGAAATATATCCCTTGCAGGTCACTTGGGAGACTAGGACTGGGGCACACTATTTACATATCTGGTTTGATGTGTTCTGTGGGTACAGGAAAAAGGTGAATATTCTGATTATATGCAATCTTCATAGATGTTAACTTATATATATAACTTCATCTTCCATGGATTTTATATAAAAGAAAGATTGGGGAAAAAATAACTTAACCATCTGTTTTAACAGCTTGATCATCTTACCGTGCCACTCTTTCTACTTTGACAGCCTAGAATTGCGGTGGGTTGAGAATGACGTTGGAGCTTCATTTATTAATATTAGCTGCTTACCGGCGCTGCTTAACTCATCTTGTCTTCACAAGTTATCCTGCCTTTCTGATTTATCAGCCGAGCCTACTGGTACCCGTGTATGTTCTCTTGCTTTGAACATTGTCATTCATGTTCAAGATCTCTCTGTAAAGGGCTAGGATTTTTTGAAATTACTAACTTTGTAGTATATCAGGGATCAAAGCAGTACTTGAGTAGTACTGAAACCTATTTACAAATGGAGCTCTAGTGTCTTCCCTCTCTAGCTATAAAGAATCTAGAACATCTATAATAGACACAATATCATTAGAGTAAATCTGATTACACCAAAAACATAGCAGTAAGATGAAGTTCAACTTGATCTTCTGCACACCAATGCACCATTGTCTAAGCTCTTAAAACATATGGAATTCCTCTCTTCCCAGATTGTCCACCAGATACAAGCTGGGACAAAATTCTCCATCTACTCCTATCCTTAGCATGTGAACATGTTCCCTCCCAGCTGCTTAGAGCCTCTGTGACATTGCCTGGTTCTCTGCTATTCCTTTAAGGTTTAGGTGATTCTCCACAAATGAGCTGTGTATGGACAACACAGAAATAGATGGTTGACTGTCTCAGCTGTTTCTTTACACAGGAAGCATCTTCAGCATAATGTCATACCTCTGCTCATCAAGTTGTGCACTGTTAAAGTGGCCTCCTTTGCTAGTAACCATACAAAAAGTGATACCTTGCGGGGAAATTTTATCCTACAAATCTGCTTCCATGGCCAGTTTGCTTTCTGGTGGTTGTGCTGGTTCATAATTTTGTAGGCAACATTGACCTTAAAATGCCTTAGTTAACCTGCCACCACAGAAGATCTTCACCAGTTTGAACCCCAGGAAATCGATCAAGTTTGCTGAAGAAATCAGCCACTCTTTGAACCTCCCAATTATTGAAATGTCTTCTAAAATTCAAGCTCCACCCGTTAGATGTCCACATGTCAGCTATAGTTTTTTGTTGGTGAAGGAGGGCTAGGATTCCGGCCTCCCTTAATGTCAAAGGGGGTATTTACTTTATATGAGCACTGGTTTATAAGATCTGGGTTTATTGATCTTATGCTAGTGTTGACTTCCAATGATTGCATGTGGAGAAAACAGACAAGCGTCATGACAACCTAACAGTACTATTTTTTAAGTTGTCTCTTAGAACAAGCAACTTAGGTATTGCTTCCTGCTCAAGCTTTACAGTTTCTGCATCACATGTAAAGTTGAACAACTTTCTGTATAATTGGGGTCTGTTCAGCTACATGATCACTTATGTGTTTTTCTTTCCAAATATTAAAGAATTGTGCTTTTGAAGTAAAAATGTCTTTCCTATTAAGCCCCTCTGGTACCTGTTAGTTGAAATGCTAGAGATGCAGAGAATATTATCAACTTATTAGAGGCTCATTGATTCTCTATTCTGTTGTCATTATGCTACTTATGCAGCACTGAAGTGATTGGAGAATCTGCACTTTCAGTTATGGTTGTGTTGTTGTTTGTATTCCAGGTATGTAGAGTCTGGCTGGATCAAATTGAACATTGTCATGTAACTGTGAGACTATCACATACATCTTGTGGTTACTTTCTTGATGATGGTTCCAGTGAAGACCTGAAGTGCAACTTCTGTCAACGTAAATGCAATGCAGAACTAGCACAGAATTTCCATTTAAAAATAACTCTTGCAGATGAGAGTGGAAAACTCTTTGCTTGGTGTACTGGTCAAACTGCTGTGGAGTTGCTGCAAATAACTCCTGATGAATTCTGCGAACTACCAGAGGTAAACCCAACTACCTGACATGAAAACTGGAATTTGGATTATTAATTCAATAATTTTCTGAATTCATTCCGATATATATACCAGCTGATTTCTTTCATGAGAAATTTGTTTCACTTGCCACGAATTTTAAGTAAATGGTGAAATTTAACTACTTTGATTTTTTCCCCCAATTTGTGAGTGCCATAGACAGGCGCAACTAAAATATTCCATATGTAGTCTCCAGAATTTTATCATACTTTGGCACTTCAAAAGGATTACTGTATACATGTTTCTTCAAAGAACAAAGTATCTGCTGCAGATTTCTTGATAGAACGAGTAATGATTGACCTTTGATGGGAACTGTGTTTGATGTTTGATAGCATGAAGAAGTGCTCATTTCTCCTCTTACCATTTTTCATTTCATGGATTTGACATATCAGGAAGAGCAGATAATGTACCCATCATCCCTTGAGCACGAAACATTCAAAGTTGCATTGGTGAGCTGCAGGAAAAAGGTTGAAGGACTTGTGGATCAAGATCATGACACAATTGCATGGGAGATCACCCGCGCAATGAAGTGTGAATAAACTTTGAACCATTACTTGCATCTCAAATATGATAGTTGATTGAGGTTCTGCCAGCTTCATGGATGAGATTTGGGATTTGAAAGAAATATATTGCCAAAATCTTAAGACATACAAAATAAACACATGTTCTGCCTGAGGTAAAAATAACCCTCCATCTTTATCATCTACGTTAGTCCCGAGTCTTGAATCAAATTAACAAAGCGGTGTTATGCTCTAAACAAGGTGCTTGTAACAGCATAAATCATGTAAATTTTGTTGTATTTGGAAACAGATGCATTTTGAAGATACCCTCTTCAGTATAGAAGGATGATTGGTTGCTGTGAAGCTAAAAGGCTAGTTGAAAACAGTCATTTTACACTAACTTGCATTATGTTAACTTATTGATTATCCCTTATTCATTGCAACATTTACAAGTACTAATATGTACTGGTGATCATCTTAATTTTTGGCATTTCTATTAGGCGGCTAAAAATTGGGGAATGATTTCTATTCGACAAATGCTATGACTTTCAGAAGAATGTCGCCAAATTAATTTTGCACACTGTCCTTGAATAACTAATGCGAACCCAAAACGGTTCAAATTGTTCTTGAGTTAACAATTTCAAACCCAGTTGGACAGCTCACTCTTCATTCAATGGTTCAGTCTCGTTGGAAATTAGAATTCACATAAAACGTGGTCAAGGGACAAAAGGATGTCATTGCAGTTGGGTGGAAGTTGCTCTACTTTGAACTTATCAGTATCCTGAACAAAACCGTGTGTTTGGTAGGGTGGAAAATGCTTTCCTAGAAAAATGAGTGAATTTCTTATTTATTTTCTAGTGCTCGATAAGTAAACAAAAACATATTATTCCAAGAGCGGTTTTATGTAATCTAACAAAACACTATGAGGTGGGATGAGGTGAGAGTGGGAGTTCAGGGTAGTTAGGGTAGAATGGTCAAGGGTTGGGGCCATTGGGTGGGTGGGTGGGGAGGTGAAAATCAAGGCTTCAAAGGACATTATCTGAATGTTGGAATGATAAGTGTTATTGTAAGAAAACTTTGTCAAAGGTCAGAACTGCTCTCAATGACCTCCAAATATCAATACTTCTTGCTTGAAGCAAGTTCTCTAGCACCTGAATAGTCTGCTCAGACTAGTCATCTATCTGAGGATGAAAAGTTGTACTAAGCTCCATCCAAGTACCCAATTCCTACTACATAGACCTTTAAAAATGTGATGTAAACTTAGTATCAAAATTTAAAATGATGGAAATAGACATACCATGTAAATGAAAAAATCTTCTGGATGTAGATCATAAGTAGCCTCTCACAATTGTAGGTACTCCGAACCAGTACAAAGTGTTCTGATCTAGTCAATCTATCCACAATGACCCAAATATCATCGAAATTCTTCAAAGTCAAAGGCATACCAATTGCTCACTATTGACATGAAATGTATCTTTCTGCATATTTTTCAACATGAATATAATATGGCCAGTTTATTATAAGTACAACTGTTACTTTACTTACAAAATACAAATACATTGTGGTCAATTTGAATACAATTGTTGCTTAAATTGAAATGAATACAAATGGTGGTTACAGTTGAGTACAGTTATAATTGAATACAATATGATATTATATTTGAATAGCAAAGGTACATGCCTTCGAATACAAATATTTTGTTGGTCAACTGAATACAAATACAAGCTGTGATTATGAATACATCCGAGCATACTGTTTTTCATTTTTACTATGTTTGATACATACATTTGAATAGAAATACATAATACTAGTTACATATACATCCGGATAAAAAAAACGGACGATAATTAAAAAATTGAACGTGGAATCCCTCTTATAAACCTTTTCTGGTCTTTCACTAAACTATTGACTTTAAAGAATTCCTTTTGGTTAACCCTACCCAAATATGAAGAAAAATGAGATTAACACAAATAATACAAACTAAAATTAAGAAAAAATGAGATTAACTCAAAAGATACAAATTCAAAACTACTAAATAGAAGTTATCTGATTGTATAAGATTCAAAATTTGTTGGAGATTCACATTAAAATGAGATTTTATTTGGAAAGGAACTAAACGTTAGGAACTGATTTGCAGAAAAGAAGAGAGAACTGGAAGAGAATAGGATTTAGGGAACGTGATTTATGCGGTATTATACGTATGTGGGTGTATTTGCTACAGATTTGATAATATAATTGCGAATGACAATGTTTTATAACTATAATTATATACCATAAATACATAGGATAATATTTTATAACTATAATTATGTATCATAAATACATAACCTATATTTGCTGTATTGTATAATTCTCCAAATAAAAATTAATATCTGTTATGTAAGTCTAATTTTTTTGTCTGTCGTAAATCAAATGATTTAAATTATACAATTGATATAAAAATAACAATAAATTCAATATGATCAAATAAATAAGGTAATACTAATATTTATAAAAACAATGCTCTAACGCTCTCAGCGAATTATGCAGGTACATATACTAATATTTTACAATAGGATAAAAATCTGTGCCAATTTGACTTTTTTTTTCTTCTGTTTTGAAATGTCAAAGTCAAGCTGTTAAAATCTATTACAATAAATAAATTTAGTCTTCGAAATTTGCTTATTGTGGAATACAAATATTGTGGTCACTTTCTGTCACGCCTATTTTGAAAAATTACAACCGACAAAAATATTTGAAGAATTTAATCTCTTAATTTATAGTATTAGTCACCTTCAAATAAATCAAATTAGATTAGTTTAGATTTAAATCTGTACAAGACAGCAACATATTTATATTTGACTTCCAAATTCAACATGGACTCTTTCTCTTTGTCGGGTTTCAATACTGACCTGGTTGGATAAACTTGTAATTTATGTTTTATAAGTTAAAAAATAGAAATTAGAAATTATAATGTATGATTATTTTTATTATATTAGTTTAAGAATAATTACTTATAAGTATTTTTTATTTTATCTAAACACAATAAAAGTAACTAAAAATTATTTTAACTTAAAACAAGCTCTAAACAAACTTGTTACTCTATGTAATCATAGATACTTTAAAAAAATAAATGAAAACTAACCTAAAGAGTCCTTCACCCAATTGATTAAATTTAAAATAGACGATCGAGATATACTATATATGTATACAGATATATGCATATATATGTATACAGATATATATATATATATATATATAATCGTATATAATTAACGAATAATATGTGTATATCAATTAGAGAAAGAAAACAATAAATATGTTTGGTAAAGATATCGAGGGCAAGAAAAAAGAAAATTGGAGAGAAATAAATCTCTTACTAATAAATTATTTATACAATCAATCAAAACTCTCCGTTTTACGTAAAAATAAATAGTTGAAGATTTGGAATGATAAATTTTGGAAATTAATGTTCATTGTTAGCAAAGGCAACAGTAATTGAATTAGCTTTTCCTATTTGTACTAAAACAAAACTTGATGAATAGATGTCGTTGCGTCAAAAAAGTACTTATCTTTCCGGGTTGGAGTTCTCCTAAATATGAAATCGCTTTTTAAAAAAGTGTTTGACTCTCAAGGTGGAACTTCACAATGCCAATTTAAATTTAATCAAATTTCCATATATGGAACACGAAAATACAAAAAAAAAAAGAGTGGAATTTTCATGAGCCATAAAAGTGGGTCCTAACAACCGCATTTTGGCTTTACATGTGGTACCAAATACACCATCTGACAAATCTACATCGCACTACTTGAGTACTTTTCCTCTTATTTCTTCTTCTTGATCATTCCATTTTGAAGTAGTCCTGACCCAATTGCTCTCTCTATCACTATTGATTTTTCAAAAACTGTTTAACCAAAGCAAAATCTTGGAGTTGGAGGTATGGAAGGAGGTGGTAGATTTGTTGGGGTAGCAGTCGATTTCTCAGCATGCAGCAACAAAGCTCTGAAATGGGCCATTGATAACATTCTTCGTAAAGGGGATCATCTTATTCTCGTTACTGTTCGCCCTGAAGGACACTATGAAGAAGGCGAGATGCAGCTCTGGGAGGCTACTGGTTCTCGTATGACATCATCTCTTCCATTAATTTCTTTTTCCCCATCTCTACATTTATCTAATCAAACCCCAATAAATCAATTTTGGAATCCATCTAAGCTCATATATGTATATGTTATTTTGGTCATCTAAACTTGTTCTATGTGGGCTTTGCAAAGTATACCGGTCTAGGTAAACGAGGAGGATTGCGATAGATCGTCACTTAGGTGAAATAGGAATTGATCATCTAGGTCATATCGTATGAACCAGTTTTCTATTCGATATCATCAAGCTGAATAAACATAAGTAGATAAAGAGGCGGAGTTGGAATTTCAACTTTATGGGTTCGGATGAATTCTAGAATGACTACTTGGATTGTTAATAATTGAGTTGTAAATTTAATATTTGTACATATTTAATGACTTTCTTAATCTAGATACACTGTTTGAGCAAAAGCTACTTGGAACACGTATATGGGCTTCTGGTTCTGCCCCTGAGTAGATTACAATCTTTGTTGTGTCCTGCTATATTCTTAATCTGTTTGAGTGGCGGCTTTTTGTAGCTTTGGGGAGCTACTAGTTCTAGTTCATAGTGCTGTAGAAGATCAGATAAGGTTTATTTCTCTATGGTGATGTACCTAAAAATATATCTACTTTTTTACCCTTGTTGGTTAGATGTCATAGACATGGGAACTCTGGGGACTGGAAAAGGGTTAAATCACATGTCTATGTATGGGGAGTTTTTTATGTTTCATTAAAGAACAGATTTTTAATACGTACGCAGAGTTTCATCATCAGGATTGAAGATGCAGCTCATGTTTTTTGAGTTTCACTGAGAATCCCATCTGTGTCATACAGGAGACATTACAAGTATTTATTTTGGGAATTTCATCTTGGTTGTTAGAGGGGATTGGAAACTAGATTGCATTAGGAGTATGTATAGATGTGATGCCCAACAATCACTTACATTAATATACCTTAAAGGGTGTGTTCAGTATGAAGGAAAATGTTTTCTTGGAAGATGTTCTCTAGGAAAAGTAATGGATTTCTTACTTTTATTTTTTTGTGTTCGGTATGCAAAGTATTATCCTAAAATCATTTGTATATGATCTAGACAAACACTATGCGAGGTGGGTAGGGGGATGAGTGCAATGAGGTAGAGTGAAGATGAGGTGTGAAGGAGGATGGGGAGGACATAATCAATGTGGAATACCACTTGTGAAACTTGTTTTCCAAACTTCCGAAGTCATTTTCCTCATCATTGAGGAACTTATTTTCCTAGAGAAAATGATTTCCAAGGAATTTGACCAACAAAACATGAGAAAATTGGAACACACCCTAAGTGTTAAATCTTTTACTGGATAGAACGTTGCATATTCAGAATCATCTAATTCATGCTTGCACCCATCTTTATTTATGAATAAATTTTTTGATGTGTCTAGGTGCAAGAGTTACAGTAGCTTCGTAAGAGTCATAGTAGTGAAAGCATGTCCCCTTGGGCTTGTGTTACTGGTAAAATATGTTATATTTGATTAGTGAGATTCCATCTTCTGATACATCTTTTGAGATTTATTTTTTTGTTGCAGCTTTAATTCCTTTATCTGAGATATGTGATGGCCACACAATGAAGAGGTATGGGGTTAACCCTGACCCTGAAACATTGCAAATGATAACCCTTGCCGCTAGGCAGATGGAGGTGATATTTTCTCTTCTTTTATGAGATCCAGTGTTTCTCAGGAAGCATACCTAGATCAAGTAGTCTTACATTTCTTCTTTTTGTTAGCAGATTACAGTAGTCATGAAAATTTTCTTCTTTTTGTTAGCAGATTACAGTAGTCATGAAAATTTTCTGGGGAGATGCTCGAGAGAAGTTATGTGAAGCAATTGACAAAACTCCCTTGAGCTGTCTGGTCATAGGGAACAGAGGCCTTGGAAAGATCAAGAGGTCTGATCTTTTCTAGAATTCCTTTTGCGATTGAACATCTGTTGTATATTAAGTCAAAGTGGAAGTCAGTTACTTCACTGCCTTTTCTTTTGCAACTATTGCGGAGAACTGAAGCTTTGGTTGCAGTTATTCCTTGACAAAGCTACCAATATGTTCTTGCTACCAGATTCCATATGTATTTACATAGCACGAGTAAACTTGGAATCTGTCTGCAGATATTACTCAAGTGCAATTTCAGCAAAATTTTCATAATCATTCAGCAATTTACATTACTACATCAGCTCAAAATAAAGGGAATAGTCTAACTTATAGTTTTTCCTCCTTTTGTATCTTTACAGGGCTATTATGGGCAGTGTAAGCAACTATGTGGTGAATAATGCTACGTGCCCTGTAACTGTTGTGAAGAAAGCAGAAGACTAATTTCACAATGTTCAGAACTCCTTAACTGGCAAAGCTGAAAACTTGTGATAAATTAATTGTCTGTTTTCTAAGCTTGGTGTCGGATGAAACTTCTATATCATCGCGAACATTGAATATGTTGATGTGTGTATTGTGTACCGTCATGTTGAACCTCTATAATTCCTGTCACTATGGATTGCTGCAGTAAATAAACTTTTTCGAACTCCTTCAATCTGGCTTCATCATTAAGTGTTTGCTAGATTCAACTGTCCAGTGCTTACTGTTTACTGCAATTGGTTGCATTTTCATAACGTTAAGATGTTATAAAAACTCCTTGCTACAATCCTCCTTCAATGCCTACTTACTACTTAGGTCTAGCTGACCCAGCTTGATGTTCCTTCCGCACTAATTAATGGAACCATCACTTTATAAAAGTTCACAGGTTTATCTATCGACTATCGGTAAGATTTACATAGCCTAGTAATTATGTTGAACTGTTTGTTTGCTACAGTGTAATTACAAATTGTAATTACAAGTGTCCTCTTTGGTTGGACAAGTGTAATCATAAGGTTATATTGAATTTTAAAAATAAAATTTAATTATTTAAAATTAAAAATTTATATTAAACAAATAAGGATCTTTATAAATAATATTAAATTAAATATTTAAGATATATATTGCCTCTTGAAAATATATCATATCATATCATCATATATTATTAAAAGTGGGAAGCCTCAAGTTGCAAAGTTGAATTACCAATTTATCCCTATACTAAATTAAAATATTATAAAATAACTAATTAATTAAATATTAAATATGCCTAAATTGCTAAGTTGATTCACTTATTGTTAAAATAAAGTAGGAGAATGAAGAATTGTAAAAATAATTAATTATAAAGTTACGAAAAACTATTAGAGAAACTTTTCGTTTCTCTATGTGATCAGTTTTAGGTGTAATATTTATCATAATGTGCATTAATACCACACCTCCACTATCTCATCATTAATCTTCATAATCTTCCCACACTCTCAAGAAATTAATGGCATGATTATGATTTATGATACCTTTTGATTTTACTCAATGATGTCCTATAAATTGTGGTATTTGACACAACAATCTATACACTTTGAAGAGACTTAGGTACACTTTGGAAGAAATAAAAAAAAATTGTCTATATTTCTATTGTTTTTATCCTTTAGTATTAATATCACTTTTAGCTTCAGTTCATAACACTTATCACTAATTCTCCTTATATTCGTTTGTTGTTTATAGAAAGGAAATGTGTACAAATTGTTAGATCTTCTAATGGAGTTTGCAACGAGAGAAGGGATGTTGAAATCTTCCTGGAGGTTTGAAAACAATCTTTAAAAGAACAAGATGGACTTTAAGCAACTTTATTGATAATCATGATCATTTTTCATGTTCTATGAAATTACATTATTTCTATATTTGTTATTTCCATTTTTTTTTATCAGATTTGATATTTCAAATCCTTGAATGAATTCTACTGTAACGGTTTGTTCATTATGATAATTTATTTTAATATTATGTTGACATTAGATATTATTGTACGAAAATGCTTTGTTTGGGACCTAAAGCCGGTGATTTCTTCTTACTAAAGCTTTGAACATCTAGATTTTATATATTGGAAGCTCATATATATATATTTAAAACAATGGTTGTTGCATGACCTACCAATAAAAATAAATTTATTCATGTAAAAATCTAAGTTGCAAATAAAAATATTTTAATTTTCATATTATATTCATGCTTTAGATAAGTTATTTTTTATTTTTTATGTATAATTATTATTATTTTAAAAAATTTCCTTGTTATCATATTAAATATCATATTTTTCCTGTTGTTTTTAACACGTCATGAGATCAAAAGAGAATCATTAAGAAATTGCAATCGAAGTTTGTAATTGATGATGTTTTGATCTAATATATATACTCAACAGTTAACGCAATATACCGCTAGGAGTGTAAATCACATATAGCCAACCGTTTGATGCAATGTTAATTAATTTTGTTTAGCTTTGGTTGCATGTTATATTATTGTTGGTTTGGCAATTTTCATTTTAAAGAAAATTTTAGCTTGTAGACTTCACAATTTATAATGTGTTTTAGTTTCTATTTGAGGAATCAATTATATAATACGCAGTGAGAAAATTGCCTTTCGTGATTCAAGTAGTAAGCTCGGATTCATGATTGAGAAAGGAATTTTTCAAGTGCAATTGAAATTTTCTACTATTCTTAACATCTCATTATAAAGAATTTTTTTAATTATTTTATTTGATTAAATATAGTTCTTACAAAATATAACACGATAATCATGTTTCAATTTTAACAACTATCAGTAGTTTAATACAAACTTATAAAATAGAAATATAATTAAAAATTAAACTAATCTAACAGTTTCTTAAAATTTATCCTTTAACTATAATTCTCCAAATTAAGAGATCTGCAACCTGAGATGAGAGTTTTAAATAAACTTTACCTCTTTCAAGTGTTGGATCGTCATGACATCATAAATATTGAAGGGGTGTCACTCATTAACGATTTTAATTTTTGTGAAGTGAAAAAGAGGGTGACAATTTAAAATAATGTGGGATTATCTTATATCTGAGTATACGAGAAATCACATTTTAAATGTCTAAACCACTTATAAATTTGCTATAGATAAAGAAGAGTTTACTCTTACATGCACATGTATATCATTCTTTAATATCAAATTTCTAACAATCCATCATTATATTGAGGGCCTTCAAAAGCAATAATCATTCTATTAAATACTAATATTATAATTTTGTGAAAGGCAAAATTAAATATAATCATAATCGTAATAAATATTATATTAGCTATAAATATATCATAATATTTGTTGCATCTATACCACATATTTGTTCTTAAAAATACAAACAATAAACTCTCTAAATATTTTGCAAGCCCAAGTTAACTTAACAAGTTAAAATTTTTAGGTTTACATAAACAACCTCTCGATAACAACTCATGAAACACCTAGACTATTGTAAAAAATAATATATATATATATATATATATATAATATTTGAATGAGTCAACATGGATTAACATGGGACGCACGTGTCCAGAACTAGTATTATTATAAGTGGGAAGCTCCAAAGTGAAAGTTGAATTACCATTTTGCCTCTATACTAAATTAAAATTTGATTAAATATAAATATTTTAATTACATAATGGTAGAATTTGAAGTCCTTAAGCCCTTTAATGATTAAATTATCATTTTCTTGATAAATGAGTACATTGATATTGTTTTTAATCATAATCATAAATCTCATAATGGAAGAATTTGAAAAGTTATGATATAAAAAATCATTCATCACTTAAATGTAGAAATCAATTTTAGAATTAAAATTTGAATTTAAAAGGTCATTTCCTAATGCTATTTAAAAACTAACTTACAAAGATGGAAGCTCACAATAGGAAATCAAACTAAGGAAATTGCACAATTCAACATGAGAAGATAAGAGAGTTCGAAGTTGCAAGTGAGGATAGCCAAAGAAATGCTGAAAATTGGTAATCAAGAAGAAAAAATAGCAGCGGAAAAAAAGAGAGTAAATTTAATACATGTGTAGTATTAAATAGTGAACAGCTTATGTTGATATGTTGATATGCTGTCTCTAACAATAACAAAGTTTTCTTTTCAAAGCATGAGGACTTTCTTTGCAATATCCTCAACTTTTCGTTCTTGCTTTCTTTCTCCATTATAGAATTTTTCCTCGATGAAGCATTTAGAATTGTATGGGTGTTGGAGTTGAAGTATAGATATCAATTTAAGGTATATGTAGAAAATTTCTTATTGTGCATTTAAATGAGAACCATTAATCATTTTTGTTATTCATTTTTGCACAGATTAATATATCATATGTTTGGACCTAATAACATAAATATGTAACTCATTATTTTAGTTACCAAACTAAATTTTGTAGGTTCATCAAATGTCTAATCATTTGACATACAATAAAGAAATTACTTGAATACATTGATTGTTCATCTATTTTAAATTATATTGTTTTTGTTGAATAGCTTGTGATACTGATTAAAATGTGATTTTGACAGTAATTCATACCGTATATAATTAATGCTTTCACAGGACTCACGTGCAAAGCACGTGTCCAGAACTAGTATTACTATAAGTGGGAACAAAAAAAGTTAAAAATTGAATTACAGTTTTACCCCTACTATAAATTAATATGTTATAAAAATATTTAACTATTTTATTTAAATATTAAATTGTATCATTTTAATAAAAAAATTTAATGACTTTTGCACTTTCTTAGATTAATTCATAATTAAAATATATAATTTAATAATATTTATCATCTAAAATCTATATGTATATTTAATTTAATCATCAAAGTGCAAAGTTGGATTATCATTTTACATCTACACTAAATTATTATTTTTTAATAAAAAAACTAATTAATTAAATATTTCTAAGAAAATTAAATGACCATTTTCCATTTACTAAATTAACACCGTTCCTCTAATAACTTATGCTTAGAAACTAAATTATTATGCAATCATTAATGTTTCAATGCACACAAAAAATAATAACAGATTTTTTTAGGAATTTCAAAGGTTATTTTGAAATTTACAAGCAATGTAATATGGTTCATGTATTAGCAAAATGTCATGTTATCCAAGAAAAATTGGAGTAATATTCTCATGCATTTTATCATGATTTGCATTTATCTAACTCTTGACTATACACATTCTCTTATAATTTTTGAATTATCCCTACATTTGTCATCTTTAAATATGAAAAATATTGGAGTAAACAACATCATGTCATATACAAGAAATGGGCAAGCTAAGATTTGGGGGATCAACAAAGCATTCTTTTTACTCTTTTTTTAGAAGAACAAAGGTGAATGACCTTCATGATATGCTTTTTTAATACATAGTTTTCTTCTTTGAATGTAAAATAAAGAGTCATGCATCAAAATATAAGATCATGACTCTTTACTAATATACTTGTGTGATGTAATTTGTAAAAATAATAATTATAATTTACTTGATCTTTTTAATGATCAAATTATTGTACTATATTAATTGATAATAAAAGTTATTTAATTTGTTCTTATGATTTTATTAGTTACTTATATATGTTTATTTTTTTGTAAGGATTGTGTAAGATAGAATATATAAAACTACATTTCTTATCAATTTTTTCTTATATTGAAACACGATGAATAATTTGAAATGTAGAAAGTAACATATAATTAAATTATTAGTAACTTCTATAATTCACGGAAGAAATAATGATATAAATGTTTATCCTTATTTATTTATTTATCCTTTTGTCTCATTTTGAGAAAGACAAATTCAATATTTCAACTTTTGATACCGTTTCATATTTTAAGTTGTCATTCCGTTGATGCTATGTTTCTATATTCTAAGCTCATTTTTGAAAAATTAATTTGGTAGGATTCAATACTTGATATGATCCCTTAATGATAAAAAAAAATTAATATTGATTATTAATTGTAGCCTTCATTTTATTTTAATTAACTCTAAGAAGTGGCTATCAAATTCTTTTCTTTTTTCATCTTTCTTCTTTTCTTTGATCTTTGTCTTGCAAGTAATTAACATATGAGATAAGAATATACATATATTAATTTGTGTTTATAATTATAGTATTTTAAAGTACAAAATATTATCATCTTTTATTTCATTAGGAGAAGAGATACTTTGCTGTCATATTTTAATTTGTTATTGGTATCCAAGAGGTAAATTCCAAATATTTGAACTATTTTTTGTTTGAAAATGGACGATATTCATGTAATTTAATTATAAAACTATTTTTAATTCAATGATAATTTGAAATAATTTATGTCAACTTAGATGGGAACACGTCCAAAGATTAGTTAATTAATTAACATATGTTAAGTAACTAATATTATAAAAAAAATTGATTTATATTTTTCAATTTAGTGTATTTTAATTAAATTAATCATAAAAACTAAAAGTACATAATTTCTATGAACCTCATGAAATACACGTTTGACAAAAAGATCAATATTATAAATATAATGTCATAAAATTATAAAACATTTGACAAAAAAGATAATCTATCAAGTCTAACTTTAAGAAAATAGCTTGTAATGTAAAATATCGAGTCAATACTCCTAAAACAAATGAAATTGAAAATATAACACAAGTTCTAAGTTTAAAAAAATAAATAAATTTAGCATAATACTCTTATGTCGAATTACAACTAAACATACATAAATATGATTTAAAAGAAAAGAAAAAATGTAAGTCCATAACCTTATTCAACAATGAATTTAACTTTAATTCAAAAATTAGAATACTAACAAGATTATACTAATGATTTTTTAGAAGATACGAAAAATTGCATGGAATCATATGAAGTAAAGGTTGAGAATAAGAAGGAAATGAAATTTTAAAAAAATATTTTTAGAAAGTATTAGAATAATAAAAACCAAAAACAATTTAATATAATAAAAATAAAAAATGCATTAAAACGAAAAAAATTAAAACAAAAATAAAAGGAAGAAATTCAAAAGTAATCAACTTGTAATTACACCATGTAATTACTAGCAATTAACAGCCTTCCCGTGTGAATTGGAGAGTGTAATTACACCCTGTCAATTACACTTAATTATCTGCTGACCAGGTAATTACATACCCAACCAAACAGGACAAACAATGTAATTACACAAAATCTAATTTCCAGAGTGGGCTTTCCAAACAGCCCCTTAATATTCTGAGGTCCTTAAATCTCTCCCACCTTTTGTGTTACTGAAGAGTTCTTTCGTATTGCTTGAAAAATCATTTGATAGTTGAAGGAGTAGTATAATTATTAGGATAACAATTACTTAATCTAATAATTATGTAATGGGAAAAGGGTGATATACCTTTCAACTTTGCTAGTTAGAGTTGATAATTCTTGTAAGGAAAGTGACTTATATATACCCGTGTTGATACACAAATGAGTAATGACCCACATATACCTTTTCCCCTAACGAAAGTGCAAAAAATAATTTTATTTTTAAAAAAAATCCATTTAGAGGTATATTTGATCTTTCTCAAACGTTCTCTTTTGACTATTTTTATTCATAGATTAATTTGAATTTATTATTTTGATGGTCAAATTTATTTTTTCACTTATTTACTTATAAAATTTATTATAGAGGCTCCAACTGTTTTTTTTTTGCAGATATAAAAACTAAATTAAAATATAACCATAATTTTAAAAAAAAAAATTAACTTTTTAATCTTTTCCGTTTACACTTCTTTCATTTTATTTCTCTTTTTTTTTTTACACTAGAGAATGAAAAAAATCTCAAATAATAGTAATAATTGAAGCAGTCAAAAAATAATTTGTGTGTGAAAAAGATCAAACACATGATTTTTTAAAAAGAAATAAATTTAAAATTATTTTTTTCACTTTTGTAGTGAAAGGGGTATATGTGAGCTACTTTTGTAACAATAGGGGTATATGTGAGCCATTATTACAACAGTAAAGGGTCGTTTGGTGTGATGGATAAAGAAAAATAATGCTGGGATAACTTTTTAGTACCTCTCAATTCTTTGTTTGGTTACAAAGTGTGGAATAACTTATCCCAGAATTAATAATTATGATTGGGATAAGTTATCCCTACTTGTGAGTGGAATACTAATTCCGGGATAACTTTTCCCGGGATAAAAATGTAAATTAATAAAATTACCCCCTTAAATCCTCTTTTATAAACAAACAACTTATTCTTAGAGGATATTTATGTAAACACACAACTTACACTTTAAAAATATGTCATGCATTTTTGACAAACCAAACAACCAATAAAAAATAACCTCAACATAACTATCCATTATAACTTATCTCAACATAACTTATCCTATCATAATTAATTTCAACATAACTTGTCTTCAAACCAAACGACCCCAAGAGTATACGTGAGCTACTTTTATAACAATAGGGGTGTATGTGAACCATTATTATAACATTAAAAATATATATCAACTCTAAATGACAAAGTTGAAAGCCACATCATTGATTGTTCCCTCCCTTACTCTCTCTCCTTCTAATTCTTTGATCTCCTCTATCGTAGTCTTCTCTCTCCCAAGTTCAAAAAAGATTCAAGTTAACTATTCGAAGTTTGAACTCTAGAAGCAGGTTAGTGTATAAATTTTGGAGCTTTTTGATGCAATTTTAATGACAATTAAGAAAATAAGATGTTTCACTTTAAGATCATTAGCTATATAAAAAGAGTTCTTTACTGTCAAAATTAGCAATAGATCAACCACAACAAAAATCATCTCTAAAATCTTTAAAAAAAAAAAAAGAAACTTAAATGTATAAAGAGTTTCCTCATGTAATATAGCTTGGATTATTTCAACGGTGTATATTTGTTGCTCATTACTTCAGTGATGTTGATGAAATAAAATATGCATGAATGGGAAACCAAGAAAATAAAATCCTTGTATTTTTGGTAAACAAGTTCATAATTTAGGTAGAACAATAAATATAGATTGTAGAGTCTTAAAGTTACTTTCTACTATTACTTATTTTATTGAAAACTTAAATATTGCAAAAAGTAAAACTATACTTGAGAGTTTACCTACGATAGCTTTAAATTACTTGATCGTGTAAAAAACATCTTACATCATCCGTGAATATTAGTTAAAGATAAGCTAAGATATAAGATAAGATTACGTAGAGAGTACCGACAATGTAGATATACCACTAGTTACATTAATTTGTTAACATTTTAAAGGTCCTCCTATTTTCATTCATGTCAACCAATTTTCTATGGTAATTCTAACTCTCCTCTCTCCCTTAACTAATTGTTCATTCTACTCTTCCTCTTCCTTTCTATTCATTCCTCCCTTTTACAATTTGGTCAATTAATTCATAACTTTGAATAAAACATGGAATATTTATTCCTTTCTTTCCTCTTTCTATTCACCCTCACTTTAGCACAATCTATTAATAATGATAATATAAATTCATCCCCAAATATTGCACCAAGCATGCAACCCACAACTTCTCCAAAAGAAAATGCAAATTCACCAACTAGTCATTCTGCATACCCTCCTGGATATGAAAATGAAAATGCACCATCACAATCACAATTTCCGTCTATTATCCCTCTTGATAAAATTTCTGGCCTCTCATCTTCTCTTATTCCCACCAATACGCGAAAAGACGATGGTGGGAATAGTGAGACTAATAATATTATAAAGAAGATATGCGACAATACTGACTACCCTGACCTTTGCACCACAACTGTCGGCCCATTTATGCGCGGAGGTATCATCAACGTACAAAATGTTCTCCAAGTGGCCATGAAACAGAGCGATGCGTTTGCCAAATTGGGATTTGCAACATTTAAAAGAGCTTCAGAATCCCCTGTTACTCCACCTAGAACTAAGAAATTGCTTAAAACTTGCCTCGATAGTTGGGATACTGTGTTGTACAATTACGAAGAAGCTTTAGAGGCTCTGCGTATTCATGACAGTGGACGTATGAACAGCATGCTCAGTGCTGCAATTACTGATATCTCTGATTGTGAAGATGCCTTTGAAGGTGTCATTACACCTATGTCTGGGTATAGTGACAGGATGACTAAAATGACAAGTAATTGCCTAGCCATTGGTTCACAACTCGGGGATTAGACTAGACAATTACCTATCAAGTTAATGCTCAAAAACACACCTAAGTTATTACCTATTCACAAGTTTCATATTTCAATTATCTGTTCTTCTATTTATCAATCTAAACTATCACTCCATTTCTATTAAAACACACTCGATGTTGAGTTGGACAAATATGTATTTCTAATCGACAACAGTCGCAAGCAGGACAACTCAACATTGAGACGTGTTATAATACAAAGAGAATGATGGTTAATTGATGGAACAATGAATATAGTTGAGGTATGAATATCCCCAAAAAAATATAATTTAGATATATTTTTACCATTAATTATTTGTTATTTACTAAACTAATTAGATATATTAGTCTAGATGGATGAGTAGGATCACTACACAAGTGGTCCTTAATCACCTCTCCTAATGTATTATACAATTTACTTATTGTGATTACGTCATCTTTTGACTTATGTGTGATTTGTGAGAAATATGTAGAAACAATCTCTTTTGCAGAAGTAAAAGGGAAAGGACTGAATATAGATAGTGACAGAGCTAAGAATCTTGGATTAAAAAGAAAATCCAAAAAACGTCACATTTAGGATATGAATATGTAATTTTCTTATATTAAGGGAATTTAAAATTTTATACATATATAAACAAATTTGTCTTTATCCAATTTCCACCAAAAACTTTCTGATACATATATTGTTATGAAATCTGTATTTTAAATCAATACTACTGATAACAAAACTTTGCAGAAATAGTAAATTTCAAAGTTTAAATCACGTAGTGAAGAACATAAATTATTTAAGAAAAAATAATTATTCGCCTTTAGTATCCGAGGTTTGAATTGGAATATATCCTTCAGGATAGAGCGATTCTATTCACCAGTGTATTGATACTCAAAACAATGATGTCAACGAACCACTCAACGACATCAAAGTACACGAATAATAAATTTGTGCAGAAGAAGAAGTTCAGAAATTTCCGTAAGTAAAAAGTCTAAGGATTCACAGGTATTTATAGCCAAAAAGCACTGGTTCCGAAAGTTCAGAATTTTTTCTAAGGGAGTTTGAAATATAAATTGTAAACATATGAAAATGCCAAAATGAATTCAACATCTATTATATTAACGTAAAAAAATTGCTTAAACCATGTATAAATAGTATAATTTTCTGTCGAATGAGAACCCTTGGCTCTTGCTAGCTCCTCCCTGCATCCATCATTTGAAATAGTGAATTCAAAATCATTATCGACGTAGACAAATATTGAGTGTAATATTCATAACTGAAATGGTACAAAGATTAGTTAGATACATATATTCATTAGAATTTAGTGGTAAAAAATAAATAAGTTCAAGCAAATCACAAAAATAAATAAATTCAAGCATAGATAATGAAGCTAAGATTTAAACTTTCGCATATTATATACGGAGAAGGGCCTAAAATGCCCCTCAACTATTTGAATTGGTACAAAACTACCCTTCATCCACCTTTCGGCCCCCAAATACCCTTAATAACATCAACCTTTTGACTAAAAAAATACTCTTATTTTTAACGGTCCACACTTATAAAGTGGATAGAGGGCAATATTGTACCAAATCTTTTAATTTGAGAGTATTTTAGGCCCTTTTTTGTTAAAATAATTTTAAATTACTTCATAGATGAGCTCATATGATTGGCTTGATTTTGGGTTTCATAGTAAATTAAAAGTAAAAAAGGATTAGTCCTCTACTCTCTACACTTTTCCCCTTCTCTCTCTTCCACTATTTTTTCTTCTTGGATCTTGTCCATCATTTTATTTTTTTTCAACTTTTGAGAAAACAAGGGAGAAAAAAAGGGAATAAAATAATGCCAACATTCATACAAAATAATTAGTTCAATATAAGATGATTTAATGAAGCAACTATGTATGTATACTACATTTTTCTTTTGTGTGTACCTAAAATTCAAAATAGAAAGAATGAAAATAATCTTTTCTACTAATCCCCACCCCACACACACCATGAGAATAATATATATAAAAAGAATATGAATATGTAAGTTTGTTTCAAGTTTGAGTCTATGATATCCTAATTAAAAACAAGAGATTAAAACAAAAGAATAAAAGGAGGGAATGAGCAAGATGAATAATTGATAGAAAATTTATATTAATGAAAATAATAATAAAAAAATCATATGAAAAATCAAATGGGGCAAGTATGAATTTTAGTTGAATCCCAATTATGAGTTGGGTTATAATAGATTGGGGTTGATTTAAAATAGTTCAATAATAACATATCATGAAATTAATAATTTTTTGAAAATTATTTTCATGTGTATCGAGTCAAAATATGAATCATAAGTAAATTTTATTATTTATTTGAGAAGGGTTTAAAATTAGATTAGTTGGATTATGTAACATAATAAATAAATATTTAATGATTTTACTTTAGGAGGTTTTGTCAAAAATAAGGGTAAATATGAACTAAATGGTTAACATCAAAGGTATATTTGAGCCAAAAGACACCAAGGGCATTTGGGGGCTGAAAGGTGGATTGAGAGTAATTTTGTACCGATTCAAATAGTTGAGTGACATTTTAAGTCCTTCTCCTTATTATATATGTCAGAATATTGAAACAACAATTCCACCAAAAAAATATAAAAGCTAAGGATGAAAACAATGAATAGAAGAGCAAAAGGAAAAAATAAACAAATTTCAAGTTCTTACCTTGATATTTGAAGAATGATATCTTGAAAAACATGAGTGAAAGCTTAGTCTTTTATAATTTCAAGCTTAATAGGCTCAAAGGGTTAATTATGGATTATGAAAGGGCATATATCAAATAATAGTCAAGAATTGGCTAACAAGACTTTATTCTTTTCAAAATACATATTTTTTTTATAGAATAGTGTTAATAGTTTTATATAATTGTTACCTCATTCGAACAAATTTTTCGAAACTAAAATTGATAAATTTTTATCTAAGATCAATAATATCTCAAGAGAGTGAATAGATTAGCTATATTATCAATTGAAAAAAGAATTATTAAAATAAATCAATTACAAAACAATAATTAATGACTTAACTTTTTAAAAGAGCTAGATTAAATAAAAGTATATATATTGATCTTTTTTTTTTAAAAAATAAAATAAAATAATATTAGAGCCACTCTCTAAAATTTGGCTTTTAGGCCCCGCTCTTGTTGAGTCGGCCCTAGTTGTGTCATCTATTATTCCTCTATTATTGGCATGATAACTTACAAATATATCTAGCATATCTATCCTTTTGCTACATCATTGAGGTACAAATTCTTTTTGGAAAACTACATAAATGGGTCATACAACTCAAAATAATTACATGTCCCAATCCAAAGTAATTTAAGAAATATCTACTCTCTCAAAAAAATAAAATTACAGCCCATATCCCCCTCCCCCCCCCCCCCCCACAATTCATTAAGGATGATAATTTTCGCTTAACTAATCAGTATCATATATACTGTTTTGGTATCATTAAAATTTCTTGTTTAGAAATTATTCATTAATCATGATACTGTAAGAGTATATATATATTGTTGTGGTATCGTTAAGGTTTCTTGTTCAAAAATTACACATTAGTCAATGATACTATAAGATTATATGTATGTTGTTGTGGTATCTTTAAGGTTTTTTGTTCAGAAATTACTCATTAGTTAATAATACTATAAGAGTGTGTGTATATATATAAATATGTATACACACATTATGATATCATTAATGTTTCTTGTTCAAAAATTATCCATTAGTTAATAATACTATACAAGTATATATTATATATTTTTATAGTATCATTCACTAATGAGTAATTTCTGAACAAGAAACCTTAATAATACCAATACGGTATATATCTAGTGATTTAGTATCAATTAAGCGAAATGATCGGCCTTAATGATATCAATACAATATATGATACTGATTTAGTATTGTCAATTTTCTGCTGAATGCCTCTCAAAGAGAGGTAGTCTTTCAATTATATAGAGAAAATAAAGATTACACATCCCTAAAGATCCGTCATTCCTATCCCTAAAGATCAGCTATTCTATCACTATAAATCTGCTATTCAATCCCTCTAAATCAGCTATTCTATCACAATATTTATTCCTTTGATTCTACAACAAATGTATATGATCATGCTAATTTATATCACTATATAATTACATTAATATATACAATCATTTAGTTGTCCATCATGCTAACATCCCCCCTCATATTGATGTTGGTGGATCAAGAAGCATCAATTTGCCTACTAGAAACTGATGGCGTTGCCGTGCCATGAATTTTGTAAATGCATCAGCTATTTGAAGACCACCGAACACATGTGGAAGAGTAATGACTCCTTTAACTACAACTTCTCGTATATAATGACAATTCACTTCGATGTGTTTGGTCCTCTCATGAAAAACTGGATTAGTAGCAATCTGAATAGCACTTGTATTATCAGCGTGGAGAGGAGTATGATGAGATTGAGGAAATCCAATCTCAGCAAGTAATCCACGAAGCCATACAACCTGGGAGCAAGCAGTAGACATGGATCTATATTCAATCTCTGTTGAAGATTTTGACACACGATCTTGCTTTTCACTCTTCCAAAATATCAATGACTCTCCAAGAAACATGCGCAAACCAGAGACTGAACGACGAGTATCAGGACATCCCGCCCAATCAGAATCACTAAAAGCATTAAGACGAATAGGAGAACCACTTGGAAAGAACAATCCACGAGTAGATATTCCTAGAAGATATCGAATGATGCAACGAACAACCACCAAGTGGAGATGACGGGGAGATTGCATAAATTGACTAACTTGTTGACCTGCAAAAGAGACATTAGACCGAGTAATAGTAAGGTAATTTATATTCCCAACTAATTGTTGAAATATAGTTGGATCAGGAAGAAGATCACCTTCCTCATGACGATACTTCACATTTAATTCCAATGGAGTATCTACAGAGGATGAATCTTGAAGACCAGGCAAAGAAATCAAATCCTAAGTATATTTGTGTTAGTTTAGAAACACACATGAAACAAAATTATGAACTTCCAAACCCAAAAAATAAGTAAGAGTACCAAGATCTTTCATATGAAAAGAATCTTTAAGTTGCTGTTGGAGGCTAGTGATTAGTGAAGAATCAGTTCCTATGATAATAATGTCATCTACATATACCAAAAGAAGAACACAACCTGTAGATGTTTTCCGAAGAAACAAAGATGAGTCATATTTGCTCTGCTCAAAAGATAATTGTAGCAAAGTAGACCGGAACTTATCAAACCAAGCTCTTGGAGCTTGTTTTAATCCATACAAAGACCGCTTCAACTTGCATACATCTGATGTAGACGATGAGAACAAACCAGGTGGAGGTTTCATATAAATATCTTCTTTAAGAACACCATGGAGAAAAGCATTTTTGATATCCATTTGATAAAAATACTAGTTTTGTGAAGCAGCAATGGCAATAATAGTTCGCACCGTAGCCATTTTGGCTACTGTTACAAAAATTTCCTCATAGTCCATCCCATACTCTTGTCTGTTACAAAAAACAACCAATCGAGCTTTGTACCGATCAAGAATTCCATTAGAATGAAGTTTGATTGAATAAGTCCATTTACATCCAATAGGGCAGACATTTGAAGGACATGAAACAATGTCCCATGTGTCATTTTCTTTAAGAGCCAAAAGTTCTTCCTCCATTGCTTTCTGCCAACATTCATGGAAGCTTGTAAGTAACAAGATGGAACAAATATGTTGGATAAAGTAGGGGAAAAGTCATACCAATTGAGAGTACGAGATACTGTGGTAAATCGCCGAGTAGGCTCAAGATCAGATCTTGAGGAATTCTCAGATTCTAGTTGTGGTACAGTTTCAGGCGGCAGATCAGTGTCGGGATAGGATAAAGTTGGCCGACGTCGTTCATACACAAATCCAGGTTTGAACCTCTTAAAAAAAGATGATAAATCCTCAAAAGTAGGAAGAAGAGGAGAAACAGAAGATGAATCTACAATCGTAGAAAAGAAATGTTGATTCTAAAAAAAACAACATTTCTAGAAATACAAAATTTGTGAGAACATGGATCATAACAAATAAAACCTTTTTGTGAAGTACTATAACCCATAAAAACACATTTAATAGACTGTACAAAAAGTTTCTTGCGCTGCGAAGGAGGCAAATGCACAAAACAAACACAACCAAATGTATAAAAATCACTATAGTTAAGATTTTGGTGATAAAGACGAAAATATGGAGACTCAAGATTTAGCACTTTAGATGGCAATCTATTAATTAAATAGACAGCAGTAGACAAAGCTTCCACCTAATATTTAGATGGTACAGATTACTCAATCAATAAAGTACGAGTGACATCTAAAAGATGGCGATTTCTTCGTTCAGCAACTCCATTTTGTTGTGTTGTATATGGGAAAGAGTGTTGTGAGACAATTCCTTTGTCAAGCAAGAATTTTTTGAATTCATAAGACATATATTTTCAACCATAATCAGATCTTAATAATTTGATGCATGTAGAAAATTGAGTCTCAATGTAAGCCAAAAATGTCTTGAACATGGAAAATACCTCAAATTTGGATCGAAGAAAATACACCCATGTAAACCGAGTATAATCATCTATGAATGTCACAAAGAATTTGAAATGAGCATGATAAATAATTGGTGAAATTCCTCAAACATCACTATGAATGACATAAAAACAGTTTGTAGCACGACTACCAAAATTAGGAAAAGGAAGAGGTTTACGTTTGCCTAATTTACAAGTAGAACAATTAATGGAAGCAACTGAAAATTGATTTTTATTTCCCAATAAACCAGAATTTGATAAATGACACAACATAATGGAATTTGGATGTCCTAGACACTTATGCCAAACCTTAGTCTTACTAGTAGTAGAAGTAGAAGCAAAAGATAGAACGGGAGGAATGAAAAAGTGTATAGGAAACAATCGTCCAACTTTAGGACCTTTCGCGATTATCGTTCCCGACCTGATCCTGCACAAGACAAGCATTACGAGAAAAAATCACATCCCAATTGTTATCTACCAATTGTCCAACTGCAATAAGACTAGTTGAGAGCTTTGGTGAAACAAAAACATTCTTGAAAGTTAGAGTAATGTCCCCAACCTTGGTAATGGAAAAATTACTACCATTGGCAATCTGTATTTGTGATGGACCTTGATACTTACCAACATTTTTTAGGATGCTCGTTGAGTTGGTCATATGATTGGAAGCACCTGAATCAATAATCCAAAAATTAGATGTAACATCATTACCTTGTAATCCCAATGCTAAAAAGGTTGACACGATCATTTGTTATACCATTTCAAGAGTAAGAACCTGTCCTGAAGATGAGGTATCATTAGTGGAACCATTTATCCCAGCTTGAAAAGCAGTGATCATACGATTTTGAGGGCGTGTGGGACACCCTTTGATAATGTGTCTTTGTTGTTTACAATAATTACAGAACTTCTTACTACAATTGCTATCAATATGACCATATTCCTTGCAACTGTAGCATTGAGTTCTACTCATATCCCTGCCCTTTCCTTTACCTTGAGCAGCAAATGCAACAGTGATATCATTTTCTTTCTTGAAAGCATTTTGTGTGACAAGCCGTTGATGTTCACGAAGTAATTCCCTAAAGCAAACATCCAAAGAGGGACACAGGTCACGATTCATCATGTTAGAGAGAACACTCTCAAAGTCGGATCCTAATTTCATCAAAAATTGGTCTCGCTTGCTTTGCTCATGAACTGCCTGAATCACTGATAGAGATTCAGTAGGTATTTTGGCATAGACAATATCTGTAAATTCAGCACGTAAGTTCTGAAATCCAGAAAAGTAATCCTGAACAGAAAGAGCTCCTTGAGAGTAATTAGCAATTCCATACTCTAACTGAAAGCGTCTTGCGCTATTATCTTGGTTGTAAACCTTTTGTAAGTAATCCCACATGGCCTTAGCTGTCTTGTACGACCTGAGATTAAGAACAATAAGAGGGTTAATTGACCCTAGAATCCATGTCATCACCCGAGCATCTTTAATCCTCCATTCACCTAGCTTTGTTGCATCAGTAGGAGCAGGATCGCTTTTATCTATATGGCCCCATAGTTTTTTGCTGGTGACAAACAACTGAAACTCCCAAAAAGAATAATTTTTTCCAGTAAAACGAACACTGAAGGATTCAAAGTGATGTGAACTCATGCTTTTGAATAGCTATGAAAACTACAAAGACTCAAGAAAGCAACTAGAATGACGAATAACAAAATTCCCAGGTGGTAGGACTGATTGTCGATGAACAGTCAACCAAAAACCAAGATTTTCAATTTTTTTAAAGGAACCACAAATGACTATGAAATAAGACAACCAAGAGAAGGGTCTAATACCATGTCAATTTTATGCTGAATGCCTTCCAAAGTGAGAGACTCTTTTCATTATACAGAGAAAATAAAGATTACACATCCCTAAAGATCCACCATTCCTATCCCTAAAGATCAGTTATTCTATCTCTACAAATCTGCTATTCAATCCCTCTAAATCTGCCTTGCTATCCCTCCAAATCAGCTATTTTATCACAATATTTATTCCTTTGATTCTACAACATATGTATATGATCATGCTAATTTATATCACTGTAAAATTACATTAATATATACAATAATTTAGTTGTCCATCATGCTAACAAGTATCAATTAAGCGAAATTAGTTAAGGGTATATAGCGTAATTATTTAGTGGAATATGAATGTAAGGGGATATATGTCTGTAATTATTTTGCTGGGTAAATTTTGCTTGCAGCTCCACCATAACTGCAAGATTCCTGCCTTGTTCTGGTTGTGGCCGGCTGCTGGCAAATTAGAATCTAAAGAATAAAACTTGTGCTGTCTTTTAGTATTTTATGCTACCTTACTCACATTGAAAAATATGAACAGAGAAGAAGTCTTTTGTACTTGAATAAAATGATCTCTTTCTTATGTAGCAATGAATTCTAGTCTTGCAAACACCACAATGAAAGGCAAGGATCAAATGAAAAGCTCTCATTCTTGCATACCTTCAGCATCATCCCAAATTTTGCAGAAGTGTTGCATTAGAGGAAATCAGAAAGGGAAACATGACTGTGATTTACCATGCAGTTTTAGTTCTGAATCTCATGTCCTATCGACGGTAAACATATTTGAAATGGCACAAGCACAATTACTTCACCATACGTCGAAGAAAGAGGATGATCCCTCCATTGCTTCTCAACCCCTTAATTCACATAGTGATCTGTCTCTTGAAGTTTTAGATGATTTTCAGCTTGCTCTTCTACTTCAAGCTTCTGCTGAAATGTTTTCCAAGAGACACTATGAACGTGCAACGGAGTTACTAAGCTTGTGTAATCTGTCTGCTTCTCTTACAGGTACTCCGGTTCAAAGAGTTGTGTACTACTATAGTGAAGCTCTTCGAGAGAAAATCGATAAGGAGACAAAATCGATAACAGGATTACAACTAGATAGACTTGTAGATTTTGAAGTGAAACCAACTGGCGTTGAAGAGCTTTTCTTGTGTTCAAAGCCTCATGTAATTGCGTGTTATCACGCACTTCCTTTTTACCAAGTCGACAATTTGCTTGTATTCAAGCCATTTTGGATAATGTTAAGTCAGAAAAACGACTTCATTTGATTGATTTTGGAATTAGAAGTGGATCTCACTGGACAATCCTTATGCAAGCTCTTGCGAATCGAGGTGATTATCCACTTGAGCTTCTCAAGATAACCGCTATTGGAACATCTAAACAAGTGGTTGATGAAACAGGGAAAAGATTGTCATCTTTTGCTGCTGAAAACATGAAGTTTCCCTTCTTCTTTAAGGCAGTGGTGTCAGAAATGAAGGACCTCAGTAAAGATCTCTTTGAGTTAGATACTAATGAAGTTGTGGTAGTTTACTCAGAGTATATTCTTGGGGGTATGTTAGCATGGCCTAATCACCTTGAAGTTGTTCTAAGATTCATTAAAAACCTCAATCCTTGTGTGATAGTGGTCATCGAAACTGAGGCAAATACTAACGAGCCAATTTTTATGGATCTATTTAATGGATCAGTGTTTCTGTATGCTGCACTCTTTGATTGTTTGGAGGCTTTCATGGAACGAGACAATCAGCATAGGATGGAATTTGAAAGACTTGTTCTTAGAGAAGTCATTCACAATGTGATCACTTGTGAAGGAGAAGGAAGGATCTTCCGCAACGTAAGGCTGGAAGTATGGAGGGCTTTGTTTGAAAAGTTTGGTATTAAGGAAACAGAATTGAGCGAATCATCCTTGTATCAGGCAAATCTAATGGCCGATAGGTCTGCTCATGGTTTTTGCACTCTGGATATGGATGGAAATTGCCTTACTATTAAATGGAAAGGAACTCCAATAGTATTTGCTTCAGCTTGGAAGTTTGTCCATGATTGATAGATGTCCTTTCGGGGGATGGAGGTGGCATGAAGCCTAGTAATACAGAACACAAATAAGCATATGAAATAAATCATCTAGTAGTAATGAGGACTCTCTGATGGACTAAGATTGAAGAAACCTCAAAAATCCCATTGCTAATTTGTCTATGTTAAGTTGGAAAGTCGTGTTCGGTAGGCCTGCAAATTAATAGTTGTTTCTTGTTCACAAGTATTTTATTCGTTTCTTACAATTGTTCATTAATTTTACATATATCTATGACCTTCTCTTCTTTCTTTTTTTTCTTTTTCAATTTACTGTATCCAAAGAATGAAGGAAAGAAAAAGGAAATTACCTTGTTTTGGAACATAGTTTCATGTTTCAAAGTGGGCATGTGGCTTTGGAACTGATAGTTAAATTAACTACTGTTCGAAAACAATGTAAATAAGATACGTGACTCTTCAATGCTATTGTAAGGTAGACAAGAGAATAAGAATTCATTGTGAATACGAGACAAGTAAGAAGAGATGAAAGATCATCTTGGCAGAAATGTTAGTGTTGGCATTTGAAGCTTTATGCAAGAATAGCTCGGATTAGGCTGTTACATTAGTAAGATTTTTGGAATAACTTGGACTCCAGAAAGAAATATGGATCAAATTCAAAGTGAAAAGGGAAGTTCTTTCTTGCTTCTAGCATGCAGGCCAAAGCATGATAATGGAAATGGCAAAGTGTTATTGTAGCATGTTGGTCGCGTGGTCTATATACCTAGTATGAAAAGATACAAGAGGAATGAAAGATAAACTTGTTTTTTTTAGCTTGATGAAATGCTTGAGAACTCCTTTATGAATTTAAAAGGCCTTGTTATCAAATGGAAAAAAAACTCCATTCAAGTTTTGTTTTTTCCTGAAGTTTCACCAAGCTGGAAAGGTTCCATTCCTTTTATGAGGACTTATCTTGAGAAAAGAAAATTCATGATATCCTATTAAAAACTGCTGCTTCTCTTTTTCTTCTTCTGTCAGCAAAATATGAGAAAACTTCAGCAAATATTGTTCAACTTGTATGACCGTTTTGTGGATCAAGGTATAATCATAATTAAACTTAAAATTGTTATAATAATATTCTGTTGGTCAACTTTTGAACATTTTAATTAGGAGACAAGGGCGTGTTATGCAAGCGAGAAGGCATGTACTATATGTGGATCTTGATGATAAAATAAATGAAAAAACACATGATGATTAAGATGGTAAACTTTCTTAAAATTGTTTTTGCATTCATATAGTTAGTTTTATTATCAACTTAGAAAGTAAAATGAATAACTTTTATTTATATCAAATTTCCATTTGTTGACTATTCTCTAGGAAAAGAAAGATAAGGAAATAGAAAAGCAAGTTTTTGCTTCTGTCTAAATACATATGCAAGGCTATAAATGAAGAACACTTCCATGGAACTTTTATAATTAAAAAAGATAACTTAGGAAAAGAAATAGATTAAGTATTAGAAGTAGCTTCTTAGGGAACATGGATTTAAATTTTAATCATAAACCTCAGAAAAATCCAGCAATGAATCACATAACTCTAATCATCACATTGAGTTATATATTCTTGGTACAAAAAAAAAGCTACTTTTTTCTTGGTTAAGACTTTGTTGGTATCTCCTTACAGATAGAGATGTATAGCAAAAATCAGAAGTTTTGATTAGCTGATGCAATGTGGTTTCGGACTGTATCTATTTGAAGTAGACTCTTTTATTCGGCTACTAGCCGGCTGCTGCCAAATAAGGCATGAAATGAGTGAGCTTGTCCTTGTTTTTGCTGTCCTATCTTCTATTTTTTTTCCTTTTTTCTTGTTTGGTACCTTATATATGATTAGATGGAAAAGGAATATAAAAATAGCACAAGTTTTTGTCTTCATGGTCTGAATAAAATGAGCTTCATTCTCTAATGAGGATAGAATTAGAAAACCATTTATACTGAAGATTTGTCAAAAGGAAGAGCGTGGCATCTTGAAAAGTTTTTTAGCATCCAGTAAGAAGAGGACTTGACCATACAAAAAGCCATGGATTCAAGTCTTGCAAATAAAGGAAAGGATCAAATGCAAAGGCCTCGTTGTGCTGAAGAAAAGAAGGAAAGCTCTTGTCTTCCTTCAGCATCATGCACAATTCTGCAGAACCATTATTGTGGTGGAGAAATGAGAGAGAAGCCCCATGATATTCCATCCAGCAACACTTCTGGATCTCATGTACCATCAACAGTAAGCATATTTGAAATGGTGCGAGCACAATTACATCAGCAGACCTCCAAGAAAGAGGATAGTTCCTCCTTTACTTCTAACACGTATCGTGGTCTGTATCCTCAAGCTTTAAAAGATTTTGAGCTTGCTCTTCTACTTCAAGACTCTGCTGAAATGTTCTCCAAGAGACACTATGATCATGCAACGGAGTTATTAAGATTGTGTAACTTGTCTGCTTCTCCTTCAGGTACTCCTGTTCAAAGAGTTGTGTATTACTTCTGTGAAGCTCTTCGAGAGAGAATTGATAAGGAGAAGGGAACATTATCACTTAATAGACCTGAAGGTTGGGAAGAGAAACCATTTGATTTGGACAAGGTTCTGCAGAATCCAAAGCCTTTTGCAGTTGTATGCTATCAATCATCACCTTTCTTCCAAGTGCCGCAATTTGCTGGAATTCAAGCCATCATAGATAATGTCAAGTCAGCAAACAGAGTTCATTTGATCGATTTCGGAGTCAAAATTGGTTCACACTGGGCAGTCCTCATGCAAGCTCTTGATAATGTAGGTGACTGTCCACTTGAGCTTCTCAAGATAACCGCTGTTGCAACATCAAAACAGATGGTTGAAGAAATAGGACAGAGATTGTCATCTTTTGCTGCTGAAAACATCAAGTTTCCCTTTTCCTTCAAGGCAGTAGTGTCGGAAATGAAGGACCTCAGTAAAGATCTCTTTGAGTTAGATACTAATGAAGTTGTGGCAGTTTACTCAGAGTATAGTCTTGGGGGCATGTTAGCATGGCCCAATCACCTGGAATCTGTTCTAAGATTAATTAAAAGCCTTAATCCTTGTGTAATGGTTGTCATTGACTCCGAGGCAAACACCAACGCGCCAATTTTTATGGACCGTTTTAATGAAGCACTATTTCTGTATGGTGCATTCTTTGACTACTTGGATGTTTGCATGGAACGAGACAATCATTACCGAATGACATTTGAAGGACTTATTTTGAGGAATATCATTCAAAATATAATCACTTGTGAAGGAAATGAGAGGACTTTCCGCAATGTAAGACTTGAAGTATGGAGAGATCTGTTTGAAAAGTTTGGTATCAAAGAAACAGAATTGGGCGAATCATCCTTGTACCAGGCAAATCTAATGGCCGATAGGTGTGGTCATGGTTTTTCTACTCTGGATATGAATGGAAAGGGCCTTCTAATTAAATGGAAGGGAAGTCCAATAATATTTGCTTCAGCCTGGAAGTTTTCACCATGAATGAAAGATGCCCCTACTTGGTGGGTGTGGCACGGAGCCTATTGATGTATGTAAAGAACCAAATGGTAACAACTCATCTTGTTTTAAGAACCTTTTGATCATAAACTGCTGTAACCTGAAACACTAAGTTATCAAAGACTTTATACTTCTTCCGTTTCAATTTGGTTGCCTTACTTCCCTTTTTAGTCCATTTGAATAAAGTGCTTTTTCCTTTTTCGGTAACTTTTTATTTCAACTTTCCACATGACAGGTTTAAGACCAAGAGATTCAAGTCTTCTTTAATTTCTCAAACTTCGTGCCAAGTCAAAATCACACGGGAGTATTTGTTTAATTTCATTTGTATTGCATGCATTGCTTCTCTGCCTGCCTTAGGACAACATATTATCTAATTCTCATTTCTTTAGTTCTGTAACACCCTAGAGAATTTTCGAACTAAGACTCGAGCCGTCCTTTATGTGGAGTGAGATTTTACCGAGGAATAAAATTTCTTGAGTGTTAAGTTAAGATCCCTAGATGTAGCACATTGAGTTCCAAGAAGAGTTGAATTGGAAATAGTCATTTTGGAAAGAATCTGGAAAATTTGGCTATGGAAAAAAAAAGTGAGTTTTTGGTCAACTTTGAGCAGTCGTAACTCCTAGCTCAGAATGATTTAGGCGAATTTCCAGTTATTTCTGGAAAGCCCTTGGAATGATCTTTCCAACGCCGCCGAGTTTGCTTGATTCTGAGTTCGTATGAGTGAGTTATGCCCTTTGGAAGTTGGGCTGTCGGCACAGTCGCACAGTCGCACAGTGCAGTTTGTTTAGTCCGAAAATTTTAAGGGTATTTTGGTCTTTTCCCTAATAATTTCTTTGGGTTATATTGAGGTGTTAGACTGATGTTTGGATCATTTTTGTCCCATTTTAAAGAGTGAGAGTAAGAGTGAGAGTTAGGGCTTGGAAGATAAGAGAGAAAGAAGAGGAAAAGAAGAGGAGAAAGAGAAGAAGAAGCTAAGGATCGTCGTGGATTTTCATCGGGGGTGATCCCTAATCAGGTATGTGAGTCTTTAGTGTGGGTTTATCCTTCCCCCCCACATACCAAGCTCGTTTTTATGATTTGAGAAGAGATTGGATTTGTTGTTGAAGTTGTTGAAGTTGTTAGTTGTTGTTGATGTTGTTAGTTGTGTTGTTGAAGTTATTGTTGGTTGTGGGACAGGATTGGGCTGTGTATTTGAGTTGTGATCTATTGTATGTTGAGAGATTGATGATCCTTAGTGTTGGTTGGTTCATACCCCCACACACCAACTCGTTTTCAATTCCAAGAGAAGATTTATTGGTTGTTGAAGTTGTAGTGGTGTTGTGTTGAAGTTCTTGCTGATTTAGTACAGATTTCTGGCTGTGATTTTTGAGTTGAATCTATTGTATAATAAGGGTCTTTATGATTCTAAGTATTGCTGCTGAAACCTTGAGGTTGAGAGGGTTTAGAATTGGAAAGAAACAAGGGGAAAAAGAAGGATTTTTGGGGAAAAAGGGGTTGGGCTGTCGC